GCCCCGCGGGGCCCCGAGCCCGGGGGGCAGGTGGAGAGCAACAACGCCAGCGGGGGCCCCACGGCCGAGGACGTGGCCGCGGCGCCCACCGAAGCCATGCCGGGGGGTGACCGCTGCCGTGGCTACTACGACGTCATGGGGCAGTGGGACCCGCCGTTTAACTGCAACCTGGGGATCTACCAGTACTGCTGCGGGACGTGCGGGTACCGCTTCTGCTGCCAGTTCAAGCCCGGGCGGCTGGACCAAAGCGGCTGCTCCAACTACGACAACCCCAACTGGGTCAACACGGGCCAGCCACCAGCCCGGGTGGATGAGACCCCCGAGGATCCCACCCGGGACAAGACCAACATGATTGTGTACATCATCTGCGGTGTGGTGGCCATCATGGTGCTGGTGGGCATCTTCACCAAGCTGGGCCTGGAGAAGTCGCAGAGCCCCCAGGCAGAGATGACCATGTCCAGGTAAGGTCCTTCATCCCCATGCTCCTCCTGCAAGGCAGCTCCACACTCGGGGCTCAGGGTTCCCCTTCCCCAGGGTGATCCGCAGCTTCAGCCAGGCCCCAACAGGGCCACCACCATGCCCCTCTGCACAACGATGGGGAGAGGCGCGATCCACTCCCCAAGGCAGGAACTGGCCCAGCGTGACAAAATGCAGGGTGCAGCATGGGGATGCGGGTTAGTGCTCCTGCTCCTCCCGGGATACTGAGGGCTGCCAGTCCTGGGATCTGCCTGTCCAGGGACATGCAGAAAGTGTGTCATGCTGTTCGTGACCTGGTCAAACCCTGCAAAGCTGTGAGGTCTGTCCCTGCTGAGGAGAACCATCCACCCTGTCAGTGGGGAAGAAAAAATATCACTTATCAGAAGTGGCCTCCCCCCAACCCTTCTCCCTAAATTCCTCATGTGGATCCTCATGTGTTTTGGAGTCAGCCCATGTCTAGGACAATCCTGGACAACAGTTGGCTTTATCTTCACTGCCAGCATGGAGGGAGGGGAGATTGCTGAGCGGCGCCTTTGCAGTTTCTGCACCTCCTGGCTGTGCGTGCGTGTTTGTGTATGTGTGTGCGGCACATGGACGCATGCGTGTGCGCATCGGCGTGGCATGGAGGGCTCCAAACCCCTCAGGGCGCTGCTCACTTTGGCCCCAGGCGCAAAGGGGCTGCCAGCCCCCAGCACCGCAGGGAAGGGCAGTGGGGCACGTGGGGAAAAGGGCTACACGCCACTGCTGGACTCCCAGCCCCTCATTTTCACCTCCCTGGGCTGCCCTTGCCTGCTCTGGAGCTGGGCTGCCTGGCTGAGCCGGGGGCTGGAGTTGGGCAGAAAAGGTCACAGCGTCACGCGCGCGTCTCCCCCTTTCCCCGGCACTGGGCTCCGAGCCCTCCGTCCTGCTCCACTCCTTCCTCCCGCTTATCTCACTATTAGCACATCACCAGCTCCCCGTCTCACTTGCTCATTAGTCCTGACTTCAAATAGACACTTCTTGCCCCATTTCTGTCCCTCTGTCCCTCCCCGCATGCACAGCCACCAAAATGCAGTGCCAAGGCTTGTTTTTGCCTCCGCGTGCTGGGTGCACCCCCTTCCCCTGCAAGGATATCACCCAAGCGGCACCAAGGGAAGGTTGAGTCCCAGCTCGTGGCAAAGAGATGTCACACGCGCCCAGGCCTCAGCATGATGCACCAGCCGTGGCTCGCGGGCAAGCAACGTGCTCCCTCGCATGTCCCCAGCTTTCCGGGGGGAGTTGGGGCTTGTCCAGCAAAACGCCACGTACCCCCCAGGCAGGCAGCACGACCTGACGCATCGGCCTCACTGCCCTCTCCCTCTGTGCCGCCGGGGCTTCGGCCGCATTGACGCCCTCCCAGGCACAGCTCAGCCCCTGCGGCTCCCGCCTGACTCAGAGCTGTCCCTCCTCATCCTCCTCCCGCTCGGCACACACACGTGCACACGCTGCCTGCAGTCCCTGCGGCCAACCTGCCTGCTCTGCGGGCAGCCCAGCCCGGTGGCTCTGCTTGGGCCCCAGCACTGCAGGAGACCCCTGCTCTGCCCCCTGAACCAGCTGGGGAAGAGCCCAGGCAGCGAGTTTCAGGGCAAGAGGGGACCAGGGGGCTGCACTAGCTATTTGTGCCTCAATCCAGCACCTTGCTGGCTTTCTAATCAACAAGGTGCAGGCTCTACTTCGCATCCTCCTAGTGAGGACATCAAATGTGGTGATAAATCCATTTCTATGTCATTTTGTCCAGAGATTTTAGCTTAAAAAAAAAAGGGAGAAAAAACAAAGCACCCCCCAGGAAATGATTTTACCAGGACAAACAGGGAGCTGCTCTGATTGCATCCCTGAGCGTACGGAGCCTCTCTCCTTCCTGCAGAGCACCTGCCTGCCCCTGCCAGCACGGAACTGGGCAGCACCTGAGCACTGCATCCCATTCCCGGACCCGCTACCCACTGTGTCCAGCTCAGCTGCTCCCACCCAGACACACACTGCATCTCATCCCTAGATCTGCTGTATCCCGGATCCACTGAGGACATTCCCAGACCGAGGGCACCCCAATTCCAGTTCATCTTCATGTAATCCCTACCGCTGTGCCCATGTGCAGCAGGAGTGGCCGAGTGCTTTTGCATGCTTGAGGACCAGGGGAAGACAGGACTGAGCCCTCCCTGTTTGGAGGAGGCCAGGTGCAATCTAGGTGGTACAGGGGTCACCAGGCCCCCTCCCAAGCAATGCAAGGCTCTTCCGGGGGCTCTGTGCATCAGTGCCCCACAGGGGGAGCCTGGCCTGGTGTCTGTGTCTGCATCTCTGCCCTGTGTCGCCTGGGGAAGCGCTGGCTCGCTGACAGGATCAATACGGCCTCTACCAGTCGCCGTGCTTTCTGACTCCCCTTCCATTTACCAACTTGTATTTTTTTTTTTTTTTGCCTCTCCTCCTTGCAAGGAGACGTTGCAGCTGCGAAGGATGCAGCACCGTAAACCCCCTGGCTCTGTGGTCTCCCAGCCGGGCCTGAGGAGGTTGGAGAACAGCCCAGCTGCCACCCTAGCACATCTCTGTGCTCTGCAGCAGCCCCTGCAAGAGGCACGGCACTGCCTCCGAGAGCAGTGTGCCCGGGGGCACAAAGAGGTGCCCCTGTGGTCAGGGCTTGTTCGCCCAGAAGCCTTTCGAGGCAAAGGCAGGAGGGAAACTGCCTCCTGCCTCCACCTTGCTCTCGCCCGTCAGGCCCTGATCCCTGCACCTGGGTTGGAAACCACTTCCCGGGTCTCTGGGAAGCACCTGCTGCCAAAGCGGGGCCCCAGCAAGAAGCGCTTCCCCTTGCCTGGCCTAATGGGGCTGTGGCTGCCCCACCACCCCTGTCCGCAACGCTGGGGCTGAGAGGCCGACTGAGGATCCTTGTCCCCATCCAGGTGTGACACAAGCTGGGGTAGGTGCGGGAGTCACTGTACACGTGTGTGTGTGTGTGTGTGTGTGTGTACAAGTGACAAGCCGGCATATTGACCTGGCCATGCCAGTCCTAGCTATCCCGTGGGAATACAGGTGCCACTGGGCAGATCTCCAGGATGCTCAACCTGGCTCTGCCAGCAGGTCTTGCCTTTTCTCATTTCATCCACATGATACCTGGTGGGAACATTGCTGCTGAGCGGAGGGAAACTTGTTTTCGACTTGTAGCCTCAGTTCTACTGAAGCGAAGTGTTCCCTTTCTTCTTTCCCTTCCCATTTCTCTATCATGAGTCAGAACTTTTTTCTGATTAGCAGAGCGGTAATTTATTCTGCTCCCCATAAGCACACTTTCAGCTCACATGGGACTGCACTTTGAAATATGTGGGTCATTGCTCAACAGATCTTTTCTTCCTAGAAGCTGCAGATTTTTTTGACCTGGTCATATGGAGTGGGAAAAGGAAAGTTTTTCTCGTGTGTCTTTGTGTTTTTCTCCTGGGACAAAATTAGCAGCCCACCTCTGTCCACACCGCGCATGGAGTCGTTGTGCCTGCACTCTGGCCATGTGCCACAGCACTGCACAGCTGTTGCTGGCCCGCACAGAGTGATTTTCCTGAATGTCACTGCAGGAGCAGGGAGAGCAATCTCCTTTTCCCCCTTCCCTATTGAGTGGCTCCTTCTGCTTAAGCTGAAAGTGTTTCTGCCTTTGTGGGGTGATGCTGCAGTCCGGGAAAGGGGATGGCACACAGCAGAGTGCAACTCTATCCCTCCATGAGCCCGTTGCTGCAAATTCTACAATTTACTAAACCTTTTCTGCACTGGCAGTGGCAGAAAAGGAAAAAAGTGCCCATGCATCAAAGTGGTGGTATCGCATCCCGCATTCCCCATCAAAACACATGGGGATCCACGCACAAAGGAGGCAGACGGATGCGAGGACAGTGCGGCAGCAGAGCCTTGGAAGGCAAAGCACCAGCAACTGCATCCAAGGGGGTAGGAGGATGGAGCCATTACTATTTTCCTGGGCTTTGTCCGGTGCTGGTGCAGAGCAGAGCCCGTGGCTGACAGCTGCCTTAGGAGTCCTTAGTGCCCTCCCTGCATGTCCTTCTCCCCTAACGGGGCAGCAGGGTGGCACACGAGCTGTGCAGCCTGCGTGGTGGCCGGGTTTCCTGTGCACGACCCGCCGGAGGTCCTCTGTTCTGCAAGCTCCCCTTCCCATGTGTGTGAGACTAGCACAGCTCTGTGGCACAGGCTGCACCGTTGCCTCCACCCTGGTGTGGCTGGGAGAACAGGCAGCCCCTGCACCATGTTTCTGCTCAGCGCCACCAAGAGAGCGCAAATATTTCTCTCTGCTTCTGCCCCGTGCGCCCACGCGTAGCTCAGCATGGGCAATGCAACCTTGTGTCCCTCTCAGCGCTTCGGGTAGGAGCTTCTCATGTTGCACCTTGCGGACTGCATCGTGGCCTCGAGCCAATTTCTCATCACACAGCTGGTTTGGTGTCTGTTTCTATCTATTTGTCCTGCCATTTTTTTTTCTTTTCTTTTGTTTTGTCTTTCCTGCTCCTCGGGAGCATTCCTCATGCTTCAGGGCTATTCCTGCAGTTTTCCTCACAAACTTCCTAGGCTAAAGAGGAAAGTCTGCCACCTGCATGCCTTCAGATGACAGCCCATTCCTGATGCCTGCAAAACTCACAAACTCCAAGGGTCACCTCTTGTCATTTGTCTGTACAGATGAGGGACATGTCTTACAAAAGCGCTTTGGTGGGAAGGGGTTCAAGCTCTGACCTAAGAGCAATAAGTCTCAGAAAAACCCACAAGCTCTGCTGCTGATACTCATAGCAGTGAGAGACCTGAAGGTCCCAGCTGGTTGTATCTCAGTGTCCTGCTTCACCTGAACCTAAGAGGCCAGGACCACCCAGCTTGTCCTTAGAACCCACTACCCTCTGCCCCAGCAAGTTTTCCAAGATGTTCATGTAAGCACAGTGTGATTGGCATCAGCACCAAAAAAGGACATCCACACACAGCTGGAGGTAGGAAAGCCCACATTAGGA